CTATGAATGTAACGAGTGTGGGAAGGCCTTCAGCCAGAGCTCCCACCTCTATCAGCACCAGAGAATCCACACTGGAGAGAAGCCCTATGAATGTATGGAATGTGGAGGAAAGTTTACTTACAGTTCAGGCCTTATTCAGCATCAAAGAATCCACACGGGGGAGAATCCCTATGAATGTAGTGAGTGTGGGAAGGCCTTTAGGTATAGCTCAGCTCTTGTTCGCCACCAGAGAATTCACACTGGAGAGAAGCCTTTGAATGTAATGGGAATGAGCAAAAGTTCTCTCAGAGTCACTGCTGAATTAAATATCAGAGAGTCTACATGAGAGAGCGCCACACACCTGTTTTCCTCACTTCCTCTGCGTCTAAAGAGTTCCTGCCTTACTATATAAGTATGAACATCTTAGAATGTGTCCCTTCCGACTCAAACCTTTCACTTTAGAAAACGGGGCAGATTGGGGAAATCATGCTGGCACATCCTCATGGTGAGCCACCAGGTCAGTTTCCCCAGGAATCACACCAGGAAGCAAGCGGCAGGTTAAGTGCTGGGAATACGAGGGAAGCTCTGGGACCAGTCACCTTCCATTTTGGAAGGGAGTTTGCACTAGACCATTTCTCTCACACCAGAGGAGCCTTTCTTTCCAAGGTGGGGAATGGAAGCACAGTAGGAATAAAATTCCAAGGATTCCTCCGTTGGAGTCAGTATACTCAGCACAGAAGGCAGTGGAAGGAATGTTCTGAGTCCTGCTATTTGCTAAGAAGGGCACATGGAGGCTCTCTTTCAAAGCCACTGTTCCTAATCCAGCTTTAAATTTTGATAAGGAATGTGCTGTTTGTTGTTGTTGTCGTTGTTCCATGACTTCATTAATTATGGAAATTTGGGGCTGAGGGATTAGTTATTTTATTGGGGGGACCCCACGAGGTTTTCTGTGCTATCTGTATTTTGGGGGGCTCTTGGAGCCGCAAGCCCGTTTCCAAGAGCAGTGAGGCAATTTTGTTGGAGCACTCCTTGTCTTTCCCTGTTGTGATAGGTCTGATTGGGAAATTCATCTGATAATCAGTAAGGCTCACAGGGAGAGGATCAAAAGCATTTAGCATTGGCCTGCTTCCCGTCCTCCTCTCTCCCTGTTCCTCTCCCCACTCCTGCGTTGAAAAGTGATTTAATCCAAACCCCCAGTTGCTAAGAATAGAATGCTTTTAAGGAGCTTGCTCAGCCAGCTTGCCCTGCCCTCTGACACCTACGACCTATGCCCTCTGGCCCCAGCAGCTGGACCTCTCATGACCTCACCTCTGACTTCAGCAGCCAAGTGTGAATGCAAAGAAAGAGCAAAGCCCAGAGGAGGGAGTCTCTGGCCTGACGCGGCTGCTGGGCTCCTTGCTGGGTTAGGATGGAGCTCGAGTTTTCCCAGCTGAAGGGATGATCTTTTGTTATCTTTTTCCAATCCTGCTCATCCTGTAGCATAAATGAAGTGCACTATTAAACAGAATAGTTTTTTTAGAAGAAGAGATTGAATGTGTTTTTGTGCAGGAGCCAAATTTATTTCAGTTAAAATAGGAAACCGTGACTATAACTGGAATCCTTAAAATTTAATCTTTTAGATTTTTTTTTTACAGACAACTGTTTTTCTTTCACACACATATGACCTCTCGCTGTCAAGACTCTGTCGCATTCCTCTAGATACTGCCACAGACTCTCAGTCATGTACACGTTGGATTTCGTGTGTGGCATATCATTCTGTGTGGTACGATACTTAAGACCAGCAACCCAAACTAGAAAGGTGTTCCTGGGTGTAGGGGCCCTGACAAGCGAGTACTTGGGTTTTGGGTCGCAGTGGGCATATGTAGATTTCTTGTTCGGGCCCTTGATGGGAGGAGGTTCCAGTCATGGAGAAGGTGGAGATGAAAGTCTTACGGAGAAGATGGGGAAATGTCTGGAACTGGCCTCTGGAAAATCTTAGAGCATATATTGTGATTGACCACCTAATATGTTTTTGATTTCTTAAAGTTATAATGAAACATTCTTTTGGCTCTTCTTTGAGATTCCCCACATACTTACAGACTAACTTTGTGTCTCGAAGTGTAGGCCATGAACAACCCATATTAGAATCACTAGGCTAGGGCCGCCTGGGTGGCTCAGTTGGTTAAGCGACTGCCTTCGGCTCAGGTCATTATCTCAGGTCCTGGGATCGAGCCCCGCATCAGGCTCCCTGCTCGGCAGGAAGCCTGCTTCTCCCTCTCCCACTCCCCCTGCTTGTGTTCCTTCTCTCGCTGTCTCTCTCTCTCTGTCAAATAAATAAAATCTTAAAAAAAAAAAAAATCATTAGGCTGCTTGTTAGTAATGCAGGTTTCTGAACCCCCAAATCAGACCTATCAAATTATTTCTGAGGTTAGAGCCTAAAAATTTACACTGAAAAGCAAGAACTAGTAACAGAGTAGGGAATATTTCTGGAGGGAGATGAGCAAGGTCTTTTAAACCTCCTCTAAAACACAGAGGAGAAGAGGTTCCAGGCAGGACCGTTTGGGGGTGGGTGAGGCCCAAGCATGGCCACTTATGTGGAGATTCAGGTTGTGGAGCTCTGGGAAAGACAGGTAAAACTGCTAGGTGATGGGGGCGCCTGGGTGGCTCAGTTGGTTAAGCGACTGCCTTCGGCTCAGGTCATGATCCTGGAGTCCCGGGATCGAGTCCCGCATCGGGCTCCCTGCTC